GGCTGGTCTCGAACTCACAGAGATCCACCTGCCTCTGCCTCCCGAGTGCTGGGATTAAAGGTGTGAGCCACCAATGCCTGGCTTGCCTGGCTCATTCTTAACTCTCTCAGGTTTCTAATTGGCCATTATCTTTCCTTCCTTCCTTCCTTCCTTCCTTCCTTCCTTCCTTCCTTCCTGTCTTCGGCCTGCATGCCAGCAGAGGGCACCAGATCTCATTCAAGATGGTTGTGAGTCACCATGTGGTTGCTGGGAATTGAACTCAGGGCCTCTGGAAGAACAGTCAGTGCTCTTAACTGCTGAGCCATCTCTCCAGCCCCTGGCCATTATCTTTTCTAGGAAGTCTCAACCTCAGGTATGGGCTAAATACCTAATTGTAGAGTTCATAAAGAACCCAAATTAGCCGGGCGTTGGTAGCGCGTGCCTTTAATCCCAGCACTCAGCAGGCAGAGGCAGGCGGATCTCTGTGAATTACAGGATAGCATCTTTTTTTTGGGGGGGGGGGTTTCAAGACAGGGCTTCTCTGTGTAGCTTTGGAGCCTATCCTGGCACTGGCTCTGGAGACCAGGCTGGCCTCGAACTCACAGAGATCCGCCTGCCTCTGCCTCCCGAGTGCTGGGATTAAAGGCACGCGCTACCAACGCCCAGCTTACAGGATAGCATCTTGTTTAATTATTAAATGTTGCTCTCTTTAGATCACAAAACCACTGTGTCCTCTGCCCCTAGCCTAATCCCTCTAACAGATGGAGGATTTGTTAATATTTTTGCAGAAGCAAAGGATGAATACAAGTGATAGTTTGCTACTAATATTGTTTCATGTGTTCTCCCTTAAGGATAGAAAGTGCACAGATCAGCTACTTAAAGCATTCTAGGTCACTTAAACTTTATGTTTTAACTTACACACAGCCTTCCCCATGTGAAGAAGATAAAACAGACAGTGTACTCACTTTAGTGAAATGTCACCATGTAGTTTTTGCAGGGTTAGACCTCATGTCTGTTTTGCATTTCCTAAGAAATACTTATTAGCACTATTCTGATGAAACTCAAGTCCAACTTTCACTTTCTAGACCAGTGGTTCTCAACCTTCCTAATGCTTTGAACCTTTGACACAGTTCCTCATGTTGTGGTGACCCCCGACCATAAAATTATTTTCATTGCTACCATAACTGTAATTTTGCTATTGTTATGAATCACAATGTAAATATCTGATAGGCAACCCCTGTGAAAGGGTTGTGTAGTTCCAAGGGGTCACAACCCACAGTAGAGAACCATTGCTCTAGATACTAACTTCCTACTTGCTGTTTTCTTTGTCTTCTCCTCTATGCTAAGACTAGACTTGCTAGTCTTGCAACATTCAAACCCAGAATCAGCCCTTTAGAAGCTTGTGCTGAATTAGACAGTTGGAGTTTGGGATTCTTTCCCTATGTCTCTCAGTACTCTGGGCACTTTCCTTGAATTACAGTTGTGAGTATGCTAAAAGTCTGGGATGGTGCAAAGGAAGAAAGGCAAGTCAAGATCTAAGTCCTAAATTCTCAGCTTCATCAATAACTAACTAGGTGATCTTGGGTCAATGACCTGAAGGGTCAGCCAATTTACTTCACTGCATTTTTCAATTCTAATCTTCACAGATACTCTTATTTTTTGGGGGGGGGGGTTCGAGGCAGGGTTTCTCTGTGGCTTTGGAGGCTGTCCTGGAACTAGCTCTTGTAGACTGGTCTCAAACTCAGAGATCCGTCTGCCTCTGCCTCCCGAGTGCTGGGACTAATGATATGCACCACCACCACCACCACCTGACTTCACAGATATTCTTAAAACTAGAAAGTAGTGAAGTTAGAGTTAAATGTACAGATTAGCATGGCATCAAGGAGGTAGGTTACTTTCTTTAAGACTGGTTTTCTGATCTCTATATGGGAAGGATAATATCACACAAAACAGAGAGAATCTAGGTCATGTTCTACTAATCCCCAAACAGAAAAGATCAGTCTATCTATACTTAAAATAACTGAAAACTCACCCATCACTTTGTATGCTAGCCTAAAAAGTAAATAAAAAAATCTCTGAAAACATGAATTTGATCCTTTATAGTTCTTCTGCTAGTACTCTAATAGTCACGGCTGTCAGAATTTAGACAATTTTCTCTTTCCTGTTTATTTTTATTTTCTTTTTCTTTTTTTTGATAGGGACTTAGTATGCTACCCAGGTGTTTTTTGTTGTTGTTAATTTTTTTTAAATTTTTATGTGTACGTGAGTGTATACAACATGTGTACGGTACCTTTGTAGACCAAAAGGCATCAGATCCCCTAAAGCTAGAGTTAGAGACAGTTGTGAGCTACCCAGTATGGGTGCTGGAACTGAACACAGGTTCTCTAAAGAGTAGTAAGCACTCTTACTTAATCTTGGAGCTAGCTCTCCAGCTTCCAATTTTACTTTTTAGTTTTTTTGTTTTTTTTGTTTGTTTTGTTTTTGTTTTAGGAGACAGGGTTTCCCTGTGGCTTTGGAGGCTGTCCTGGAACTAGCTCTTGTAGACCAGGCTGGTCTCCAACTCACAGAGATCCACCTGCCTCTGCCTCTTGAGTGCTGGGACTAAAGGCGTGCGCCACCACTTCCCGGCTTACTTTTTAGTTGGAAAGTATTTTTTTCTTGATTTCTTTTTTTTTGACAGACATATTATTATTATTATTATTATTATTATTATTATTATTATTATTTTTAATTCAAGTTAGGGAACAGGCTTGTTTCACATGTACTTCCCCTCTTCTTCTCCTCACCCCCATTCCTTCTCCCCCATTCTTGATTTCTTTTTAGTAACCATTTACAAACTAATAGGTTTCATTAAAGCATTTTCAGGCATGCTATTGTACTGTGTTGCTTTTCATTTTCTTCTTCAATTGACCTCCTCACTTCCCCTCTTGCTCTCTGGCTGGTTCCCTTCCCAGGCTGGTTTTGAAGTGGGAGATTTTCCTGCATCAGTTTCTGCTGGGCCACCATGCCCACTTAGACTAGCCTTTATCAAAGTGTCATGCTACAGTAATTCCTAATTGTCTAAGAACTATTTCTGGTCTTTTTCCAAGTCAGTCCAGAGGTTTCTTCAAACTGGTATATATATCTGTTTCAAAAATAACAGGCATGGGAAGAGAGTTTTTGCTCCTTTGTGCAAAGGACAAAATATCTTAAGGTTCTCAGTGATTCATGCTGATAGGAGTAACATGATTGGGGGTTGGGGGCAATTTCCAGAAAGGATTTTAAGGGGTTGGTAATGGAACTATGTAGACTGGAAACATTGTCCCTGTTACTAGAAAAAGATACCAGAATAGAACTAGGGGAGTAAAGTCATGCCAACCCTCTAAGGCCAACTCATTCCTCACACTGTCCCATTAAACAGCATATCCAAACCTGAACCTTTGTCGACTCCACCAATAATCTAACAAATGCACATTTTGCTGCAGAACTCATAGAAACCTGATGAACAGAAATAAAATTTTATGTATGTGCAACAGTATAGAGGGCATCCCCAGGCTGGATGAGTAAGAAGGAGACAATGTTGCTTAATGCAGGATTATGAATCTTTTTTTTTTTTTTTTGGTTTTTCGAGACAGGGTTTCCCTGTGGCTTTGGAGGCTGTCCTGGAACTAGCTCTTGTAGACCAGGCTGGTCTCGAACTCACAGAGATCCACCTGCCTCTGCCTCCCAAGTGCTGGGATTAAAGGCGTGTGCCACCACTGCCCGGCGGATTATGAATCTTGACAGTAACAGTATCTTGCCTCATGCTCTAGATCCTTGCTAAGGTGAAAGCTCACAAAAGGGTATCAACAAAGCTGGGGATCATAGGCTTGAAGCTTCCATAGCTCTACAACTGCCCTTAGGCAGTCTTCTTTGGGGTTCCAGTCCCAGTCTGGCAGAGTGGGAGTGTGTTTGCATTTGAGGAGCTGACTTTGGGAACATGTCTTCCTAGGCTCTCATTTTCTACCACCTGTTTGGGAAATATTTAGTCCTTTGAATGAATCAGTATTAGCATAACGTGCCCTTATTTACCTCCAAACGTTAACTTTGTTGAGAAAGTTTAACTTGGCCCAGAGCTTGTGAAAAACACTAGGAGCCATCATAGTTTGGGAAAACAGCTAGCAAATGGCTGCCTTTGATGTGGAAACCTAGGGTACATTTCTAGGCGATTCAGAGTTCCTTCGCACGACCCTAGTTGCACGACCCTAGTAGCACGACCCTAGTGAGCTCCCCTCCCTCCTCCCCTTACCTCAGATTATGTACAGAGGTTGGGTGGGGGAAGGGACACCCCTAAAATAAATTACTCTGAGAAAGGTGACCAAAAGGGGGGAGTTTCTGGGGAACAGAGGTGGCTGGTGCAGAGGTGAGAGACCGTGGGAGGAACCAGAGAGAGAAAGCAAGCCAAAGAGTGACAGTGGGCACTGAGCCGAACTGGAGGTGGGTGGGTCAGAGCCAGAAAAGGAAAGGCTCAGGAGCAAAAGGAGGGAGAGCCAGGCGTGACAGTCTGGGGCTGGATGCAGGGCCAGAGACAGTACAGAGTGACAGCCGGACACTCGGGGCTGGTGGAAGAGGGTCGGCAGAGGGGCTGGGACAGTAAGTCTGTCCGGCAGGAGCATGGTTTAGAGACGGGGCGGTAAGGACCCATTCCTAACATCATGGTCCCTCGTCGCCACCCTCACTCGCCTGCAGGATCCGGGTCCGCACTGCCGCCGCCGCCGCCGCCGCCGCCACCGCCGCCATAGCGCAGCACTTCTGCCTGGTTCACGAGCCAAGGCTGCCAGAGCCTCCCAAGAAGTCACACCGCTAGGCCACGCCTTCCACACGGCCGGGCCTTGCCATTGGAGGAGAGGGCCACGTCTCGTAACCAATCGCTTGTCAGAACTCTTGACTCCCACCCGTCCCCCCCAGTCTTGGGACTATGTGATTGGTCAGAAGAGGAAGCGTTCTCGCCCACTCTCACCCCAGCCGATTTTTGTTGGCGGAGAGCGGGAGACGCCCCCACCCCGACTCGGTCCTGCATATTAAGCACCAAGCGGAGCTGGGGAAGACGCCCCCTAACCGGGAGCTCCGATTGGCTACAGGTAGGCAGCCTCGAGGCCTCGCCCCCTCGCTAAGGAAAGTAAATAAGGCCCGTGGAGAATTTTGCCTGCGTTCCACCTTAACTACGGCGCCCCGGGCGGGGCTGCCTTCTGGGGTGGGACTAGGCAAATGTTACCCTATGGGCTAGGGCAGCAAGACCGGGTCGCGAGTTGAGGATAGGTTATTTCTCCAGGGGCGTGGCTTGTGGGTCCTCGCTTTCCCGCCGACGGTTGGCCACGTCACGTGACATGGGCTGGAAGATGGCGTCTCCCACGGACGGTAAGAGCCGGCTTGGAGATTGTTGCCCTGTAGTCTCTTTATTTGCTTCTCTGGGAGCTTCCTATGCCTTCACGCTTACCCTTCTTTCTTGGGCTCCTCTCCTTGCTCTCCCACTTCTTTCCTTCCGGGTATGTCGGGTTTTCAGCCCGCAGGGTTTTCACAGCGTCCCCGGAGGTGCCAAGTACCAGGTCTCCCCACTTGCTGGGTGAAGGAGGCCACCAAACAGACCCTTTCCCGGAAACAGGACAGAGTTCGGCCTGGCCCATCGGTGATGCCGAGGGCTCAGAAGGGGCTTCAGGGGAAAGGCAGCTTTCTTTTCGGATCCGCTCCTTGGAGTGTCGGTTCTGATCTCATCTCAGTAGAGCTAGAAGGAGTCTTTGAAGTCCTAGCTGTGGCTGGTGACTGACGTGAGGTTTCGAGTTCATCCCTAGGTCGAGAAACACGCTGTCTCCTTCTCAGTTTAGGTCCGTTGCCCTGGCAGCAGGAGAATCAAGGACCTGGTTTCCTGGCTCTGAGTCCCGAGGGAAATGAAAAGTAGTCTTGTTAATATAGTTTGTAGCGTCTCACACTCTTATTTTTTTTATGTGTTGTTTCCGTAGCCTGAGAGCAGGAGCAATTCTGCTTACATGACATCTAAGATGCAATTCATCTTAGGTGGCAATTAAGTATTTTCGTTATACCTGTATGCTTTTGCTCGAGGTTCTGTTTCAGGATTTGGAATTGCCCTTCAGTCATTATTCAGTATCTCAGTATATTCATTCTCAGCATAGTTATTTTGTTTTGGCCACAACCTAATTATAAGTTTCAAGTCTGTCTTATTTCAGAGTTTAATCCTAGGTTTTATCCTAATGCCTGCAAAGCATTTGGCCTTAAGTTAATGTTTCTCAAAAAATGAAACTGGCCTTGGTGTGTGACCTCTAATCCTAGCTACTTGGGAGATCAAGGCAGGAAGATTGTTGCTTCAGGCTTGCCTAGGTTACAGAAGGAATTGTGGGCAAAGTATGTCTCAAAAAGGTGGGGTTTTTTGTTTGCTTGTTTTTCTAGACAGGGTTTCTCTCTGTAACCCTGGCTACCCTGAAACTCATTCTGTAGACCGTGCTGGCCTAGAACTCAGCCCCTCCTGCCTCTGCCTCTTGAGTGCTGTGATTAAAGGCATGCATGACCATCCAGTGGATCTGACTGACCTCCATGGGCATCAGGCAGGCATATTGTGCCCATAACATTCAGACAACAGCAATACAGATAAATAAATCTGAAAATAAAAAGTGAGTATATAGGTTAGTGGGAGAGAGCTTTGCCTCTGATGAACAAAGCCCTACGTTCAGTCTCTAGCACACATCTAAACTAGTGAAAAGTAGGTGTTGGTGGCGCTCGCCTTTAATCCCAGCACTCGGGAGGCAGAGGCAGGCGGATCTCTGTGAGTTCAAGGACAGCCTTGTCTTCAGAGGGAGTGCCAGGATAGGCTCCAAAGCTACACAGAGAAACCCTGTCTCAGAAAAACAAAAAACAAAACAAAATAAACTAGTGAAAAGTAAATAATTCAAAGGGTTTTTGCTTTTAAAGAATCGGGGTTCATGGTGTTGTAATGTCTCAACATGGAGAGGATTGGGAAAGAACATAGTGGGTTTAAGGGGTTTTCCCTACATGTAATACAGAAAGACATCAAGTAGCTTCTTGGACATGTTATTCTGAAGTTCAGGAGAAAGGTTGGGACTGGAAATATGAATAGTTGTTGTTATGTAATAGTGAGAGTTGTAGCGAGTAAAGCTAGCATAGGGTGAGGTTTGAGTGGAGACTGAAGAAGGAATAACTAAGAGAAGAACCAATATGGTGGTTTCATAGGAGCATAGAAGCATCACATGCTATTGAGAGGTCACAGAAGAAATGATTTCACATAGAGAACTTTGATAACTGTAGTCTAATGCATGCACAGACAGATCATGATTTTGTTTTATAGGTTAAGGAGGCAGAGTAGGGTCTGGGAAGGTGGCACAGTATGTAAGCATGCTTGCTCTTCAAAGATGAGGACCTGAGTTCAAATCTCAGGCACTCACTTAAAAGCTAGGTATGGGTGCATGTGCCTATAATACCAGCATCTTGGACAACAGAAACAGGTGGATCCTGAGAGCTTGCTGGCTAGCCAGTCTAGCTAGCTTCTGGTTTAGTGGGAGACATTGTGTCAAGACAATAAATCTGAGAGCAAAAGGAATACATTCAGCATCCTTCCTGATCTTCACAGTCACAGACACCTACATCTGCACTCATTACACCCATACAGTGAGTGCCCTCTCGAGCACATGCATGCTCACACACAGAGGAATGTGAGGTGTGGAAATAAGAACAGGATACCCTGGAGGGAGGTTGTGAGTTTAAGGGGAGAGACTGCATGTTTATAATGTTTATGTGTGTGTCTGCACTCAGACATGCATGTTGGTACCAGTATATGTGGAGTCTAGTTAACCTTAGGTGTAGTCCCTCAAAAGCCACCCACCTTGTTGAAGTAAGACCTTTCATTGGCCTGAAAGTAGTAGGCTAATGGCTAGCCAGCAAGGTCCAAGAACCCCTCAGTGCTGGGATCACTAACACTGCTACCTCATTTTTTTTTTTTTTTTTTTTTTTTTTTTTTTTTTTTTTTAGACAGGGTTTCTCTGTGTAGCTTTGGAGCCTATCCTGGCACTCACCCTGGAGATCATGCTGGCCTCAAACTCACAGAGATCTACCTGCCTTTGCCTGCTGGAGTGCTGGGATTAATTGTGTGCGCCACCAACGCCTGGCAACCTCATATTTTTTTCATGTAAGTTCTGGAGAGCAAACTCAGGTCCTCAGGTTTGCTCAATAAGCAGTTTACTGACAGATCTTTCACAAACTGCCCCCCACCCCCACCCTCCTTGTCTTTTTTTTTTTCAAAGGAGGGAAATTCTGAGCTAATGAGATGGCTTATCAGGTAAAAGAACTTGTCACCAAGACTGCTAACCTTGGTTTGAGCCCAGAATCCACATGTTGAAGAAGAGAATCAACTTCAATTTTTAGGGCACAAATATGAACCCAATAAATATTATTTTACAGCCGGGCGTTGGTGGTGCATGTCTTTAATCCCAGCACTTGGGAGGCAGAGGCAGGCGGATCTCTATGAGTTCGAGGCCAGCCTGGTCTCCAGAGCGACTGCCAGGATAGGCTCCAAAGCTACACAGAGAAACCATGTCTCTGAAAAATCAATCAATCAATCAATCAATCAATCAATCAATCAATCAATCAAGATTAAAGGCGTGTGCCATCACCGCCCAGCAGGGCTTCTCCTTTCAACAGCTTTGGCTGACCTGGAAATCACTCTGTAGACCAGACTGGCCTCAAACTCACAGAAATCCACCTGACTCTGCCTCCTGAGTCCTGGGATTAAAGGTGTGCACTGTCACTGCCAGGCAATAAATATTACTTTCAAAAGTCAAAAAGTAGCCAGGCTTTGGTGGCACACGCCTTTAGTCCCAGCACTCGGAAGGTAGAGACAGGTGGATCTCTATGAGTTCAAGGCCAGCCTGGTGTACAGAGTGAGTGCTAGGATAGGCGGCTCCAAAGCCACAGAGAAACCCAGTCTCAAAAAACAAACAAACAAAAAAAGTCAAAAAGTAGAGAACTTCTAGACCAGGCTTGCTTTTTAAGTATGAGAAACAGATAGTACAAGGAGTTTGAGGTGCAGGAGACAGTGGTCTCTAGTCTTAGTAGTAGAGATTGTCTTCCATGAGAGTAGGGACACTAGGCTGATTAGCTGGAGGACAGTTAAGAGTGGAATGAGACACAGGTAGATTTGCTGACACTTTCCCCTGCCTTAGTCTCCCAAATGCTGGGATTACAGATGTGGACCACCATGTCCAGCCAATACTCATTTTCCTAAGCAGTTCTTAATTTTCTTTTTTTTTTTTTAGTTTTATGTGTATGAGTATTTTGCTTGCTATATGTCTCTGCGCTTCATGTGGTGCTGGGAATTGAACCAGGGACCTCTGTAAGAGCAGTCAGTGCTCTTAACCTCTGAGCCATCTCTCCAGCCCTAACTTTCTTATTTGGTAGAGTGGAAGACTGAGTTTTGACGAGAGTATCAAATTTATTTGTATTACATCATGCCCTGGTAGCATCCGTAATTCAGATCCAACTTCCAGTTGGGTGGTTTCAATTTATGTTCTTTGAGATCGGAATATAATGAAATAGAAACGAATGTGTTTCTCGTCTCATTTGGTGTTTGGTTCCAGGGACAGATTTGGAAGCATCTTTGCTAAGTTTTGAGAAACTTGACCGTGCCTCGCCAGATCTTTGGCCTGAACAATGTAAGTTTTTACCTTTCTCATATCATATCAGTGCTGTAGAGTCAGTGCTCCCATGGGAGAATTTTGAAGTGTTATCATTGTATATCTGTGATGATTAAAGTTTTTATTTCACTTCAAAGAGAAGAGATTGATGTGCAGTAAAAAGAGGGACTTTGTGAGACAGGTGATAAGGAGCTTTTAAATAATAATTACAGTTTTAAAACTGTATCTGTAACAATTTCAGATAATGTTAAGATGCACAAAGCTTTTCCTCATCTCCTTTAATCACTCTTACTACGTTAAATACTATTAGTAATTTTGTACAAATCGGTTTGGAGTTTTTAATGCTTATATAGATAATCTCGAATGTATACACACATACACACACAGGGGGTGGGGAGTGGGAGGTGTTTCCATAATAATGAAGTCATATGTATAGAGCCTTCAGCTCAATTTAAATAAATTAGTAATTTTATGTATCTTTCCATATAGACATATGCTTCGTAGGTCTACTTTATTCTTTTAAATATATTACAGTGGATATTCTAGTTTCTGCATTTACATTCTGTTTGGAAACCTGACACTGGTTTTTATTTCACAGGCAGCATATTAATGATTATCTTTGCATATATGTCCTGTGTATGTGGAGAGAATGACTGCCCACTTTCTCACTAGCCAATATTGCATATATGTCCTGTGTATGTGGAGAGAATGACTGCCCACTTTCTCACTAGCCAATATTGTATATATGTCCTGTGTGTGGGAGAGAATGACTGCCTACTTTCTCACTAGCCAATATTGCATATATGTCCTGTGTATGGAGAGAATGACTGCCTACTTTCTCATTAGCCAATATTGCATATATGTCTGTGTATGGAGAGAGTGACTGCTCATTGTCTCACTCGCCAATATTGCATATATGTCTGTGTATGGAGAGAGTGACTGCTCATTGTCTCACTAGCCAATATTGCATATATGTCCTGTGTATGGAGAGAATGACTGCTCATTGTCTCACTAGCCAATATTGCATATATGTCCTGTGTGTGTGGAGAGAATGACTGCCCTCTTTCTCACTAGCCAATATTGCATATATGTCCTGTGTATGGAGAGAATGACTGCCCACTTTCTCACTAGCCAATATTGCATATATGTCCTGTGTGTGTGGAAGAGAATGACTGCCCACTTTCTCACTAGCCAATATTGGCTGTTCCTAGCCAGTTATCTTTGTTTGCATTTCTTTTTCATTTTTTTAAAGTTAAATGACATTCATTTATTTATTGGGCTGGGGAGACACCCATGTTCCATGATGTGCATATGGAAGTCAGAAGACAACTTATAGGAGTCAGCTTTATCCTTTTACCATGTACCTGGCAATCCACAATTCAGGTTGTTGGGCTTGGGGGCAAGTGCCTTTCCCTACTGAGCCATCTCACCAGCCCCAGTTTGTATTTCTTAGTATAATTGAACATTATTTCACTTTATATAATTTGTGCTTTTGATTTATTTATTTATTTGTTTATTTATTTATTTATTTTTGAGACAGGGTTTCTCTGTGAAACAGTCCTGGCTGTCCTGGACCTCACTCTGTCAACCAGGCTGGCCTCACACTCACAGAGATCCGCCTTCCTCTGCCTCCCGAGTGCTGGGATTAAATGCGTTCGTCATTACCACCCAGCCTGTGCTTTTGCTTTTTGATGTGATACTATCTGAGACATTTGAGTAAATAATTTGATTAATAGAGGGGACAACTGAAAAGAAAGTTTACTTTGCTTATTTTTATTATTTATTTGCAGTCCTGGGGATTGAACTCAGGGTGTTAGACAAGCACTCTACCATTGTCTAAATCTCATCTCTGGAAAGGGAGTTTAAACTTTCTGACAAGAGACAAGTTTACTATTCTCCAAGTCAAATCCTGGTTATTTAAAGCATGAGGCATTGGTTTCTCAGAGAAGCTTTTCCTGCCCCATCATCTGATTTAGAGTTCTGTTTTTCGTCTTCATATAGCACCTAACATCAAATAAAAAGCAATGTTAGTGATTTCTGACCTGTCTTCTTCTATGTTGTAAGTTCCTTGAAAAAGGTGGCTGGACTTTTTTTTTTTTTGGATTGTTTGCTTGAGACAGGGTTGGCTGTCCTGGAACTTACTCTGTAGACCAGGCTGGCCTTGAACTCACAAAGATCCCCCTGCCTCTGTCTCCTGTACTAAGATTAAAGGTGTGTGCCATGACAGCCACTACCACCTAGCAAGACTTTGTTTTTTATTATTTAAATCTTCTATGCCTGAACCCACAATGTTTCTTGAATGAATAACACTTTTTGTTGTTGTTTTTCTTTTTTCTTTTCTAGTACCAGGTGTTGCTGAATTTGCAGCTTCTTTCAAAAGTGTAAGTAATAGCTTATGTCTATGGAAGTTTATCCAAAGTTTGCCCTTGGATAAAAAGCTCAAATCTTTATTTTCAAGAGTAGTGCCATGGTCTTTTAATCATTTCTTGACTGTGGACCTTTATTTATTTATTCATTTATTTATTTAGGTTTTTCGAGGCAGGGTTTCTCTGTGTAGCTTTGGAGCCTATTCTGGCACTCCCTCTGGAGACCAGGCTGGCCTCTCTGCCTCCCAAGTGCTGGGATTAAAGGCGTGAGCACCCAGCTTGACTGTGGACCTTTAAATATGTTTATGTTACCATAGTTAACTGTTGATTGTCCCTTCCTCTGTTCAAATGCTGTATTTTGACACTTTAACCCTTGTATATTATATATATTAGCCTCTTTTCTTGGCTCAAAAACTTTAAGGTTAAGCAGTTGAAATACTTGATGTAACATTGGTATTCTGTTTGCCCCAACTATATTGAATTTTGAAGCTTTTTTCCCCCTTATTTATGTGGGAGTTGGTTTTCTCCTTTTATCATGTGGTTGCTGGGCTTTGAATTCAGGTCATCAGGTTTAGTAGCAAGCTCACTCACCTGCAGAGCCATCACTAGCCCAAGGTTATGTTTCTTAACCTTTGTCTGCATGGCAGAATTGTCAGTGTACATACAGCTGCAAAGCTTTTATAAGTTTTTGTTTTGTTTTATTTAATTTCTTAGCTCGGTCTTTCTAGTAGTCCCTCTTAATGGTCCTTGATTTGCTGACCTAGTGCATTGGGGAATGTCCAGGATTTGGTTTTTGTGCAGGGTGCAGGGGAAGATGGTCTCACTGTGTCGCTGTTTTAGTTACTGTTCTATTGCTATGAAGTGACACTGTGACCACAACAACTTTGAAAAGAAAGTATGTAATTGAGGGCTTGCTTACACTTTCAGAGATCATGATGATGGGGTGGGGAACATGGCAACAGGCAGGCAGGCATGGTGCTGGAGCAGTAGCTGAGAGCTTACATCTTATCCACAAGCAACAGGCAGAGAGAGAGGAAGACCAGGTGTGGGCTTTTGAATCTCCAGAGCCAACCCACAGTGACATACCTCCTCCAACAAGGCCACACTCCTAAACCTTTTCAAATAGTTCCACCAACTAGGGACTGAGTATTCAAATATATGCTCTTACAGGGCCTATTCTCATCAAGTCACCACAGAGGTACAAACTGGCCTGAAATTTACAATCCTTTTGCTGCAGCCTTTGCTTGGATTGCAATTGTATCCCACCTATGTCCATTGACATTTAATATTTTTTAGTTATCTGGGTGATTCTTATATGCAGCTAGACTTAAAAGCTACTGATCTTACAAATGAGCTTTCATAATTTCAAGTTTATTTATAAGATAATTTAAATGCTGCAAATTTTCAAAAACTACAATACAGTTGTGAAATCTGGACTGGTGAGGTATCTCAGCAGGTAAACCCATTTGCCATCAAGCCTGATGATCTGAGTTCAATCCCTGGGACCTACATGATTGAAGGAGAGAACTAACTCCCACAAGTTGTCCTCTGACCTCCCCAAACCTGCTTATGGCATATGCATGCTTTACCCCCCTTATCATACAAATATATAAATGAAAAAAATTAATAATGATATCTAGCCAGGCGGTGTTGGCCCACACCTTTAATCCCAGTACACAGGAGGCTGAGGCAGGTGGATTTCTGTGAGTTTGAGGCCAGCCTGGTCTACTGAGAGAGTCCCAGGACAGCCTTGGTCTGTGTCTTGAAAAACAAAAGCAAAAAATGAATGGTGAAATCTCAAGTGATGACCATTTTATTCTTTCCCCACTTGAATTGAGGGTTTTCTTACTTCTGATTTTCCTTTGTCAGAGACTGTTACTGATCATTGTATTAAACATTTAATTGGAGTCTTTGATAAGAATGAATTTTAAATAATTTCATTGCTGAACTAACTGGTGACTTGAATTAGTAATATCAGCCACATCAAAATTCAGCCAACACTACCTGAGACCAACTTTAAAATTGGGCAGCCCGATTTTTTTTAATTAAAAAAAATTGTTTTTCATTTTACATACCAACCCCAGTTCCTCCTCCTCCCTCCCCTCCATCCATTCCTCATAGCGGGTAAGGCCTTGGGGAGTCAACAAAGTCTGACATACCAAGTTGAGGCAAGACCAAGGCCTGTGTCAAGGTTGAGCAAGGTAACCCACTGTAGGGAATGGGTTTCAAAAAGCCAGTTCATGCACCTGGGATATGTCATGGTGCCTAAAATGGATTTTGAATTAAAAGCTGAACCTAAATACCTGGCTTTTAAGTTTCATTTACATATTTTATGTATATGGATATTTTGCCTGTATGTATGTCTTTGTACCATATATGTGCCTGGTGCCTGAGAAGGCCAGAAGAGGGCATCAGATCCCATGTGACTGAGGATACAGATGGTGTGGGTACTGGGTTCTCTGGAAGAACAGTCAGTGCTCTTGTCTGCTGAGCCATTTCTCTATCCAGAAAACCTGAAGTTTTCGATTGTAGTTTGCCAGATTTTCAATCTGAAGACTGTGTGACAAACTGCACTCTCATAAGAAGGATGTACCTGAATGGATATATTCTTATTTTCTGACAGCCGATCACTAGCTCTCCACCCAAATGGATGGCTGAAATAGAACGTGATGACATTGATATGTTGAAAGGTATGTGATACTGGTGTCTACTCTCTTTGGTTTTGGGTTTGGGTTTGTTGGTTGAGACAGGGTTTCAAAAAAAAAAACCTTACATAAATTTCTCACTGAGTTATAAAGGCCCTGTTAGGTATAATAATAATAACCAAGCTTTAGAGATAAAATGGCTAGTGTTTATAAATTAATAAAATTTAAATTCTTATCTTTTAAAGTTTAGCTTTCACTATAATAGAAGTCCCTTATTTACTTATAAGATTTAAAGATATATATTGTCCTTAGTACTATAAAATGACAACCCCTTAGTGCAGTGTTTCTCAACCTGTGAGTTGTGTCCCCTTGAGGGTCGGTCTAATTACCTCTTCACAGGATCCCCATATCAAATATCCTGCCTGCCAGACATTGATACCATGATTCATAACAGTGGCAAAATTGTAGTCATAAAGTAGCAATGAAATAATTTTATGGTTGGGGTCACCACAACAATCGGGACTGTATTAAAGGGTCACAGCATTAGGAAGGTTGAGAATCCCTGCACTAGTAGATTAAGACTAATCTCTTATTTATTTCTATCCTTTCAATTTCTTTCATCAAGAATTCTATGAGCAGTGAATACTCATATTGTTTGATAAATGATTTGGAGTTCAGTAAGAATGGAAATTTAAATTAAAAAACATTTAATTTTATGATTTTGTTTTTTAAAAAAATCATTCTCACAGTGTTCAGATTCATGATGGTTGTAAGGAATAGACTGAAACTAAGGTAAAAATCAGCTGAACTAGTCAAGAAAGTTGCATATGTTCGATTCAGGTAAGACTGCAGGATGGAACTGGAGAGATGGCTCAGAGGTTAAGAACACTGACTGCTCTTCCAGAGGTCCTGAGTCCAATTCCCAGCAACGACATGGTAGCTCACAACCATCTGTTATGAGATCTTGTGCCCTCTTCTGGTGTGCAGATATACATGGAAGCAGAATGTTGTATACATAATAAATAAGTAAAATCTTAAAAAAAAAAAAAAAAGACTGCAGGATGATAAATGGAAGACTAGAACTCCTTTATGTGATTTCTGAAGTAAATGACTGTCTGCATGTTTAAGTGCTGATTCCCTCCCCTACCCATAGAAAAATTATCTCAAAGTCATCTCAGATTCATTGTCCTGATATTCCAAAAATAAGTATGTAATAAATGGTGAGCGTGTATTTCCTAAGAAAACTTCATATTTTTACTGAGAGTTCACATAGCATTGTGTTCATGCAAAGCAACCTCTATTTTATTTTATTTTTTTTAAAGATTTATTTATTATTTTTTATATAGTTTTCTGTCTGCATGTGTCCCTGTACGCCAGAAGAGGGCACCAGATCTCATTACAGATGGTTGTGAACCACCATGTGGTTGCTGGGAATTGAACTCAGGACCTCTGGAAGAGCAGTCAGTGTTCTTACCCTCTGAGCCATCTCTCTAGCTGGCAACCTCTATTTTAAACAAGGGTTTAGGTGCTATTTAATGAACATCTGGGGAGTAACCTTATTTTAAGTAAAATTAATTGTAAGTAAAATAAACAAAAATTGGATTTGAAGGGAAAGTTTGGATTTATATTTAGTTTTTGTTTTTTACATTTGGGGACATGGGGAACAGTATTTTGTTGCTATTATTGCTACTATATATAGTTGAAATTATGGGACTTATAAATGGAGACAACATCTATTTTACATGACCAAAGTGTGCCTACAGGCTCTTCTCAATGACATCTCACATTGTTGTAAGGCTTCCTATTTTAATGGTGTGTTCATTTTGTATGATAGGCAGAAATGAATGCTATAAATAGAACCTTGGATAAAATCCTTGGGCAGTGAGATGACTCAGCTGTAAAGGCACACACCACCAAGCCTGACAACCTCCATTTGCTCTATAGAACCCATATGCTAGAAGGAAAGAACTGATCAAATTGTCCTGATAGCCATGCAGTGATGTGCACACTTAGCTTGTTAAGTATAATGCTGAGGTGTTTTTGCAGTGGAAGAAAACCTCACTGTTTCTGCTGAAGAATGTATAAAATTGGAGGAAAAGAAATAAAGGATCTGTCTTGTACTTATTCAATAAGGAACTTAAGCTTGAAATCTTCCTTACCCTCTCATTGTTCTGGTGATCAAATCCAGGACTTTATGTCTGCATGCTAGACAGGTGTTCTAACATTGAGCCATAACCCCAACTCAGTCAGAAATCTTTTATTACTAGAACTATCAAACCAATCAATTGTTACTGGAGACCAGTGGAAAGAAGTGATACTGAAATAAAGTCTTCTATTTCAGAATTGGGGAGCCTCACCACAGCTAATTTGATGGAGAAGGTACGAGGCCTCCAGAACCTGGCCTATCAGCTGGGGCTGGATGAGTGTGAGTACCCAATTAATTTTATACAAGGTTATACGTTGTATATTTCACAATGAGTTCTATTTATAACTCATGAAAATATACTTTTCCTTTTACCAAGGCAAAGACAAGCCATCAGAAGGTAGGAACTCGGTGTAACTTTGTGCCTTTTATGACAGAATATACTAGTCTGATTGGACTTAAAAGGTAAAAAATTCTTTGTGCAATACACATTTTTTTGGAACTTTTTTGTTTTAAGTGCTATGATATCAACTAAAACTAGCTCAATCTAAAGAGAGACTTTGTTAGTTTGCATTCATTTATTAAAAATCCAGGGCTAGAAATAGCTTTGAGGTTATCTAGCTCTGTGGCCATAATGATGTCATTGATGGTAGTTTTATTCTTGCTTTTGTGTATCCAGGCTCCATTTTACTCATGCCATTAGTCCTAGAGTCTTTGCTGCTGCCAGTAGCTTTTTCTCAGCACTAGGGAAGGTGAGCAAAAAGATACCAATTTGTCTTTTTGAATATCATGATTCCCAAGGGAAGGAAGAGTATCTTTCTGGGAAAGACTTTAGCTGTTCTGTCATTGCACATACTTACATGGCAGAGTCAGAGGACTACTTGGGAGAGCTGATTCTCTTTGCATTATGTGGGTTCTGAGGAGCTTGAACTCAGGTCATTAGATTTGGCAGTGTTCCCTTACCCACTGAGCTATCTTTACTGCCAAGTATTTGTATTTCTAAGAACTGATAATATTGGGATTGGGGTTAGTCACAGTCAACTACTTCAGCCATCTTAATCACGGAACTGAATCTGAACAACAAAGACTGTTTTCCTGCCAGTGTGAGTAGGATGTACACGGTAGTGACATAGATTATGTCACACTTCATAATTTAGCTATTTCAGCTTCTGTAACAGCGTTTTGTAACTTACTGCCATTTTTCTTGGCCATAGTGAATTTATTTGAGGTAAGAAAATATTTTAAGTTAGAAATTGAAATAACATTGATATGTATTGGATTTCTTAGATACAGTCCCTTTGTTTTAGTGTGTACAGTGTATTTGCATAAAAATGTCTTTTTTTGTCCTCTTAGATTATTCATCTACTCTAAGGGTTGTCTTTCACTTGACACCTTAATCTGGTATTTCGATGTCTTGGTATTATTTTGTTCCTACATTAATTGAAAGGATGACATGGGTGAAAAATAAGCAGTAGGAACTGATGAATCCCAGGGGACCAGTGATACTGTTTTCATGCAAATATCTGCCTTGATAAAGATGATGAGATGAAAAAAAGGCAGAAAATATTTAGCCTCAAAGCATGATTGTCATTTCACAGTATTGTTAAATGTTAGTATAGGAATATCAAGAACCTTCTAGGACTGGTAGTAACTAGATTGTATCTTTTGGAAGGTGAGCCTTATGTTAAGCTTTGATTTGGTACATAGCTGTATGTCAGATAACCCTTTGGTGTACAAATTTTAGAATATAATAACTTTTTTTTATAGATTTGTTTCATTTTTAAGTTACTTTTTACCATTCTTGGAAATTTGTTGTTTGTTTTAGTGCTTGGGTTAAATGTAACTTTTCAAGATAAAAGACTTTTTGGTGGGGGGTGGGGTACGGGGGTGGGGTTGAGACAGGTTTTCTCTGTGGCTTTGCAGGTTGTCCTGGAACTTGCTCTTGCAGACCAGGCTGGTCTCCAACTCAGAAAAGTCATTTTTTGAGACTAACTTTGGAGTCTTCAGATCAACTGACAATAGCAAGGTTGCTGTGTGTGTGTGTGTGTGTGTGTGTGTGTGTGTGTGTGTGTGT